GGGGCGGGGAGGGGGCGCACGGCGCTGGGCCCCGCCCTTCCTCCACCCCAGAGGAGGGTGGGGGTGACTCTGGGTGTAGCGCGGCGGCGGCGGCGGCGGCGGCGGCGGCGGAAGAACGCCCCTACCCAGCGGCCGCCGATAAGCATCTCCCCCCTCCCCCCACTAGGGGCATCCACGTGCTTCACATTCTTGGACGTCTGGGAGCGGGCGGAGGCGTGAGCCGCGAGATTGGTGGGGGACAGATGGAGCGCCACATCCTGTGTACCCCTTGTCCTCTGGCGCCCCAAAACGGGGATTCTGGGGGAGGGAGGCAAGGTCCCCGGGGCCCTGCAGGATCGCGAAGGTCTTCTCCCCCAGCCCACGTGCAATCTCTTCCCACCTTTGGTGGAGGTGGCAGCAGAGAGTGGAGAACTCGGTGTGAGGGGGCAGGAGGGCTCCTGTCACCAGCGGACCTACACACACCCAGGGGTTCGGTCATGAGCCCGTGTACTCTAGACACACTCAAGTCACCACCCCCAGCCTCCAGGCCCTCCCAGCCTGTACCCCACCACAACCCTCCCAGCCACTTTCCCGGCCCACTAAGCCTTGGGGGCTGAGCCCACTGCCACAGACCCGACACTCCCACCACGGGAACAGGGGAGCCGGGGCCTCTGGCTCCACGCTGCCCCACACACGGTGCGGGGGAACAGGCCTCCACTTCCCCCATTGCCCGCGGGCCTCCAGGCTTCCCCCTACCTCGCCTGGCCAGTTTGGGGCCAGAAAGAGCTGAGCTGCCCCCAAGGGCTGGAGCCCAAGGCCTCGGATCCCATCTCCTCCCCAGTCCTCTGGCAAAAGCGGCCAAGGCTGTGGAGGGAGTGCCCATGGCAGCCATGCCCCAAGTATCCCACTTAGCAGGGGACACCTTCCTCCAGTTCTGGAAGGATGGGAAGAAGGATCCCAGTGTGTGTCACACCTCTCGCCTGTCCGTTTCTTCCTAAAGTCCACCCACGCGCACCCCGCCCTCCCTCCCACGGTCTGCAGCCTGCAGCCTCCCAGGCAATCTGCCCCAGAGGCAAAGGTCGGGGGCGGGACAATAAAGGCTGGGGGTGAGGTGGCTCGGAAAGGGGCAGAGATGGGTGTCTCTGCACCTCAGGTCTCTCTTCCTAGAGCAAAGGCATTGCGGGTTGCCCTTCAACCTACTGCAATCTGCCAGGCCCCCAGAGACCCACTCTACCCCTCCTCCCTGGCAGGCAAGAGCAAGGCAGCCAGGCCGGGAGGGTGGGAGAAGCCCCCCAGGGAAGAGCTGAGCCCAGAGCAGGGGAGAGGACAGAACCGGAGCCAAGTAACAATAACCTCCTAAGCACCGCACTCCCCCACCAGGTACTCTACCTCACAGCTGGGTGTAAACATGCCCAGGTGTGCACCCCAGGCACTCACAGCTTCCGCCAGTGTACAGAGCCTCTCCCTTCCAGGGAAGCCTGAACCCAGCCAGAGGACGGTGAGGAGAGGAGGTGCCAGGACTCCAGGGTTCTCATCAGCAGCGGCCCTCTTATGAAGGGACAGCCCAGTGCCTGCCCCATCCCCAGGTGAAAACACGGTAACAAAAGGACATGGCTGAGTTGGGAGGGGATGCAGCCCTCATTTCCAGAGTAGCCCCAGACCCACAAAAAAATCAAACTCATCCTCCAGAGAACAAACCGTATTAGGATTATGGGGAGGAGGATTCTTCCCACCAGAGTAGCTTCTCCCCTCCTTTCCTGGCACAGAAGCTTGTGCCAGCCAAGTGTCTAGGGCCAGGACAACCCTCAGATGGACAGGTGCCCTTCCCCAACGTGTAAGGGTCGGTTAGGATGGCCGACGGGTATCTGATGGAGTTGCCCCTTCCTGCCACACCCCACTGCCAACACCAAAGACATGGAGCGCTCCCCTGACACCCAAGAGCTGGGGGCAGCAGCTGTCGCCCAGGACAGGCTCTCCCCAAGGCTTTGGCAGGGGTGGGATCTGGGGAGGAGGCCCCTCCTCCTAGAAGCAGACAAG